ATTTTGTTTGCGTGTAGCTCTCGATATATAGATCTCAAGTGCCGGTCACATTCACTGGTTACACTTTGCACGATTCTGCGTCGTGTACTCGTCGGTTTGTACAAATGCATGCACGGATACAGCGATGCTATCGCCGTCGGTCGTGTCAAGTGCCGGGCGTTTACTCGAGGAGCTTGCCTTCGCCTTCGCGGCTTATTACGAAGTGTTCAGAGCCACGGTGAAACCACGGTGCGCCTTGTCCTACTTGCCGAACATCTTCACAGAAGAGACGAAAGATAGAAGCGATTCTTGTGAGAAAACGTCTGCAGCAAATTTTCTATGATTTTCATGATGCTTGGCACGCGTTTGTAGGACGCCTAAGACTTTTGTATTTGTTTACTTGCTATACATAATCTTATTTTTCGTATTGATAGTTTTGTTCGATTCCGATAACATATAATTTTGTTTTAAAGAAAGTCTCTTCTCCGAATATGGTGTAGAATCACGGTGACCTCGGCGACTTCTCTTTACGAACCGTAAAGGTACATCCGGAGGTCTCGTCCTTCGAGCAACGATGTCTTCTCAGGGACAAGAAACGCGGAACCAGAAGCACCGAGGTCACTGTGTGTTCGGCGAAAGGACAACAAAATGAACGCTGCATGCACAAATTCTTATACATGTACAGGCTCTTTTTTTTTTGAAATAACAATAAATATATTTAGAAATGGCAAATAAAAATGTATATAGATTATCTTTTTAAGTTGATGCGAGTATCTTATCTTAGTTTTTTAACAATAAATTATTCAGCACATATGTAAGCGAATAAATACAAAAATACAATTTGCGTATACTTCTGAAAACAACATACGTAAATATCAACTTATTATTACGCAAAATGATAAGCCTGTTCTTTGTGATTACTAATGTATACTTGTTGACACTTGTTGTGTACATTTAAAGCGAAATAGATACATATTTGAAGTTTGGTGAAAGCGAAGTAAAAAATTTTAATGCAGTCCAATGTAATGACAAAGAACAGGCTTATTATATTAATCGAATAAGAAGGTTAAGAATTAAATGTTAGGAGAATTAGTATAAAAGGCTACTTCTTTTTTTGCATAGAACGGTGATCTGTGCATATCAATTCTCCATCCACCCGTAGACGATCCACAGAGCGGTGAGTTGCCTTGTGAGAGGTGGAATCCGACTCAGAATGTCAGGTGAGTGCACAGTGCCGCAAAGTTCGAAAAAAAGGAACAAATAAAGAAATTTCTGTTAGAATTAATTGATTGTGTTTCTCAGGACTATCTTGCTATCAGTGATCTCGTTGCTGAATGAGCCCAACACGTATAGTCCAGCCAACGTTGACGCATCCGTAATGTATAGACGTTGGCGTGATTCCAAAGGAAGAGACAAAGAATATGAAAATATCATAAGGTAAGATATCCTTAGTAATGCTGTTGCGTGACATCATCACGCGATTGCAAGAAACTTTGCGCATTTTCGTTGAAATTGTACCGCTACCGGATCCATAGCGTGCTAAAAACTATGACAACTGTGCGAAACAGATAACTGCGGAAACGAGAATGTCGGTACAACGTAAATATATATATTTTAACGCTAGAGCAACTATATAAATTTATTTAGGAAAACTAATTCTTGTTCTAATTATACACGAAAATGAAAACTGTAAATTGTTTTTTTTAACAATTATATTAATTTTTCTGTTATTAAAAGAAGATATTGTTTAAAAATAATAATAATTTAGAAATAACATTTGTATTATAAATAATAATTATTATTACATTGGATTTCACGCTAAAGTCGATTAAGTGTTCTCTAAAATTTTGGCATCTACGAATAAAATATTTGTCAGACAATTCTATATCCCCTAGTAAACCACAAAAAGATATTTTTAAAAAATCAAGAAATTCTCAAAGAAATTTTAGATATATTTTAAAAATATATTTAATTTTTCATTTGATAGGCAGAAGATTGGTCACAACTAAGGTAGGTATTTTCTCAATATATATCTCGTTTATGTTTTTTTGTTTAGGAAACAAGCTCAAGCTGCCAAGATGGAAGCGGAAAAGGAAGGTATTGTTGTGCCTGTAACTCTGGAGGATTATTGCATAAAGACTCGAGCGAGGCCGGCCGAACAACAACTAGATATGACAGACTTCTACGATGACGAATACGAGTTGGATGATGATGAGGATGAGCAGTTGAGCGCGACCGATTACGAAGATGGTGATGATAGTGGTAATGGGGAATCGTGATCCATTTCTTAAATGATAATAAAAATCCGCGAATCGCTAATTATTATATATCAGTTCTGTATAGATTAATAAATTAACGAGCTTCTAAACCGGACGATCTCTCTGTTTTTCTTTCTGGATGTCAAAGTTCAAATAAATATTTCTTTTTTTATCGAAAATGAATAAAATACTCTAAGGAAAATTTAAATAAGATTACGGATATGTCTCTCTTAAGCCATCATCAATCATTGTCATTTACGTTTTTTTTTTTTAAACAAATCTATATGTATAGCCTATTCAAACTTTATGTATAAACAAAAATTTTTATAATTTCTAAAAGGTCTATTATTGAATAAGATTTTCTGTTTAACGATGGTTTATGAAAGATAATATTCTTTAACTCTCGCACTATCGAAGTATTTGTTGGACAGCGAAAATTGTATCATTATGTAATGAAAATTTTTATTTTATTATGGCGCGTGTTTAAAAAATTTAATTCTTCACATTGCTTGTATAATATATTGAACATATATGTTAAGCTATATTTGTTATATGTATTACACAAATATGCGGTACAGGTATTACAACACAAATATTTAATACAATACTTTATAGAAACTCATTAAAGAAATTTGTATAAAATTAATGAAACTAATTGAGAATGATACCAGTTTTTGCTGGGCGAGAGTTAATAGAAAGATTGGAATGTTAATAGCTGTATGGAGAATTCCGTGTTTACAAGCTCTTTAACTTAAGCAATATGCTACGGCGCGCATGCGCGCGCGCAAGTATGGATATAAGTACTATGGATAGGAGCACTTTGCTTGTTGTGTTGTGGCTGGCACTTTGATCTTTTAAATAGGAACGGACCAATTGATTTACCTTACAATGACAAACGTTCGATAAAAATAATCATACGTAAGTACTATAAGTACACGATTGATTTTTTTTTATATTGGACATCTAGTTTCACATCTTGTTTAAAGTTGTAAATGGGTACATCAATTGATCCTAAGTATAATATCTATATATAAAATTTGCATTGTTTTGAATAATTATTTATGTTACGATGACACAAAAGAAAAAAAAATTGTCAGGGGAAGAATTCAATTTAGTGTAAGAGAAAATAAGCTGCCGAAGAAGACCTGTTAAAAAATTATCAGTAATAAATTTTGCATCTCACACACTAGGATTCATGTTATACATTAATATCATTAATTATATTTATATGTATGTACATCCATATATCGATGTAATCATACTGATATTTTCGCCGTATTATTTTACTGAATTACAAAATGAAATTAACAATAATCATGTTTTTATTTCTTCGCGGGTCTGAATGATAAACTCATTCATGGCTTTAAAAATGAATAACTTTTGCTACATTTTAATTTTAATTATAAATGATATTAAATGAAAATCTTGAAAAGAAGAATTTATGATGAAACTTATACGCGCATAATACTACAGCCATCAAAGTTACTTTAGTTTATATAATTTTCTTAAAGATCTCTCTTTTGCTATCATCTTTCATAAGAGGAACTAAAACTTTCTAGATGAAATTGATTAAATGTAAGCTTACTACTTAAGTGAAAGGTATATTGGATACAAAACTAATTCTGATACTGTATCTGCGCTCGTATGACTGAAATTGTAAATAGTAAATACGTGAAACTCAATTTTAATGACACAAAATATATAGGTGGTACTCTTTTACTTATTTCTTTATAGTTATTTCATTGAAAGACCAATATGTTGAAAGTGTTTAAATGATAAAATGAAAGCAAGAGAACATTTTTAAATCCCAATAGCTAAGCATATACTCTGCGCTTGTAGTAATATCGTAGCTGAAGTGAATATTCTCTAGTTCCTTCGACGTACTGTAAAATCTTTTCTTATTTCATGTTTTTCTTATATAGCTATTTATAATAATAGAAAACATACAAAGTACTGACAAAAAAAAAATAATTTATATACTGCATAATTCTTTCCTTCTCTTTTTTGTACATAAAAGTTTTTCTTCGTACAGATATTAATAAAATTAGCGTAATACTATCACATATGCTTTGTCGATAATTTAGTGAATATGGGTAATAATGTCAGGTAATGTTAATCATTTACTATTAATTACCTTTTTCACATGATGATAGGCTAATGTGAGGAAATATGTGTAAATACATTTTATTATGGCAAAAACTGGGCTTTTTGTGTATCTTCTTAATTACTATTATATTCCGCACATCGATAAATATAAAAATATGATTTATTCTTCACACAGCTGTACATGCACAGGATAATGAGATTATAAACGTTTCCAACGTTACAAACGTATCTTTTATCAATACAAAAAGAAATCGCGAATTGCTGATCATTATAATCGAATTGTAGAGGTAGTTGTGAGTGAACGTTTTTATCATAATGTAGATCATCATTTTTTGTTCCGCGCATATAAGACAGAAGGCACATCGAAATTGCAAAACAACTTTGTTCTTCGAATAAAAATACACAATTTTTTTAAATTTTAAACGAAAATGCTATAATAAACACGCTTCATAATGAGTCAGTATAACGATTAATTGAATCCTGTGCACACGATATGCAGCTTTCTGATAGAAAATGTTAATAAATACAAGAAAACATGAGAAGAAACAAAACTGAAAACAACATAATATTATCGACGATATGTTGGTGGGACATTCACAAACTTTATCTTACGGCTAGCATTATGTCTAAAAATTATTTAATAGCTTATTTTGAACGATATTAAATAGAATTATTGTCATGTACGATTACGGACGGTTGTTTAACGAGACTGTTGATGAGCCCAGCACTGCGAGCAATAATATTGGTTTTCTGGCGATCCAAAGAATTGGCAGTGTTCACTGCGGCACTCCTTCACGGTGCCCTGTGCAAATGGCAAAATTTTAATTAATAGAATTTATAATTTTTCCTTTTGAAAGTTACTTGACATACCTTTAAATGGTCACTATTCCAAATCTCTGGCCCCGTATTATTTGATGGAGTTTTATCAATAAAAAATGTAGATCTGTGAAAAAAAAGTTAATGTATTTTTCATGATTAGATATAGCGAAGAGAGTCTGGATTTTACAATTATACCTCGAAAGATAAAGCGTATGATTTTTGTTTGTATTAGTAGGTAATAGTTTGTTAACGCTCGCATGACTATCGCGATCACTGGCAGCGTAAAATTTGGACTTGCCGGCACCGTAATTTAGTTCACTACCTGTGTCATCCACCTGATGATCTTGTAGATATCTGCAACATGATGCAACAAATCGATGTAATTATGATCCATATTTTTCTGATTTATCAAATAATCAAAATGGAAATACCTTGCATGAGCACACTGAAGATAATTTTGAAGCATTTGATCCACATACTGATGACGTCTACTCTTTATTCTTACACACAACAAGCCTTCTGTCGAAATTCCACCGCTGGTAGAAGGCGGGCTCTTTGACCTTTTGTTCGTCATAGACCATATTTTTTTACTGACAGATTTACCGATAGAACCGAATTGTTTCGCGACCTCTAACAATTGCTTCGCGGTTTTTGACAAAGAACCATCGGAATCAGAAAGCCTGTCGATATCTTCGGACATGAAACTTTGATACTCGCAATCTAAATACTGTCGCAACAAAGTCTCCATCTGCATACAAATAACAAAATGATTCTGTTACCAATAATTTAATACTTTGTCAACAATATGTTAAATATATACAAAAAGATCTACTTACGGTATCCTGCGTACAAGTTAACAATTCTCGTGAACCATCAATCCAATCCCAATCAGGACCAGGATCCACGGCAAATAAGACTGGTAACAGTTTGCCTGTGTCTGGATCTACTAATGGTATACTAACTCCTTCACCGCAAGCGCTGCCATAATCATTGCAGCCATCTACAGTTACAAGTGGGGAGAAATGAGCAGAATGATATGCCAAGAGTAAGGGTGTTCTGTGACAATGCGAAGGCGGTACTTCCAGAGGTAAATACACCCCACCGAATGGGATCGGTGCTAAAGCTACTCCATCCGCATCCTTCAGCATAGTTTCTGCTATAACTATTATAGGTCTTCTTAAGATATGAGCCAAGGTTAACACGTGTATCTGAAATCAAAATATAGATTGTATATCTAATTAAAATCTAAATAAAAGTTATGATAATCAAAGAAAAGATGTTGTAATACTTCTTCGAGACTCTGATAAGAGGTAGCAGTCTGATTTCTGATTGTAGGAGATGCCATATCCACTATACTTTGCCATTCTGATAACCATTCCGCTTCCGTATATGATAATCCAGCCGCTTCATTTAGACTCATTTGTCTCCACTTCCATCGTCTAATAATTATGGTATTGGATAAATAGATATCCTAAACATTTACTTCTCTTTTAAAATTAATATTTTCTTATTTTATACCTGAAAATTGCATGTCTGTATTCTCCTTTGGTCAAAGTATTATGCAATGCCTCTCGCAGTGTAAGTAATCTATCATGAAAGCCCCACATTCCCAATGAAGCAGCGTGAAGTAGACAATTGCCATCTCCAGATGTTGCTAGTGGCCAAAGAATTCTAGTGCTTCCACTTTTGTACCACCAGTTTAATCGACCTGCAGCTTCTAAAGAATTCAAGCATCCATTCTCTATCAGATCCTTCTCCAAGAATTTACGAAACGAATCTAGATATAAAATATCAATCAAAAGTATGCTAATGTTAATAAAAAATAATTAGGATACATATTGTATTTGAATAATAAAGAAAAATACCTGGATATATAGACAAGTCTGGCAATGAAAATGTGAATTCTGGTGTATCGAGTGTTCCTAAGGCTGCCAATTGTAAACGAGCATAGGAAACAATTGCTGCATTTTCAGTTGCACGGGAGATACCTCTAGCCAGTTTTTTTGTAGCACCCGTAGTGCTGTCCAAGCCATTATCAGCAGGACTCTCGTTCTCCAGGCCACTCTCCAAGCCATCGTACATGGATAAACCAACACTCATAACACAGCTGTCCTGTCAATCAATACAAAAAATGATCTTATGTTAAGAATGAGTCATCAGTCATTAGTCATTCATCATGTTAGGTTCAAATAAAGAATAAATTGATCTACTGCAAACATAATTGAATTAGATCATTTATTCCAGAACATTCCAATATTATTACACATACATTATAACATTTGTTCTTGCAAGTTATTAGACCAATTAGATAATCAGATAACCTATAAAATTCCAGATTAATTCAAAAATGTTATCAAAATATATTTAATAAATTCTGAGCATTCTTCTCGAATATATCACATTTCATCAATTTTTTTTTTAAAGAGAATAAGTAAATAAAAATAGAAATATTTAACTGTTATAATTTTCAACATTAAATTTTTATAATTGCATTATCCATGTAATCATTAAACCTTCACAGAAATAAACAAGTCATATTATAGAACCTATTTCTCGGATTAAAGGAGTGAAAGTTTTTACGAAGGCTTACGATTCTAAATAAATCGTAAAAAAAAGATGCAGCCACGGCGAAAACGCACACTCGTGCAAAGTCACAATAAAGATTCGTAACCGGCCGCGATTACGCGCGAATGTCAGCCGAGTAATCGCACGCCGCTATATACATGTATGTATGTACATATATATATGTGTATACATGTATACAGGCAGTCTACAGAAATAGGACAAGGTTTCACAACGGCCACCACCTTCGGTAAAAAAAAAAGAAATATGCAACGCGTGAAAATCGATCGCGACGCACACCTTTTCGGAGATGAAAAATACGACTTTCGCTCTCGTTCAATAGTTGTCTGCGCGTAAACATCTGCGTGAGAGTATCTTATTTCGATGTAAGACGAGAGGAGGAGGAATGGAGAGAGAGAGAGAGAGAGAGAGAGAGAGAGAGAGAGAGAGAGAGAGAGAGAGAGAGGGAGAGCGAGAAAGGAGGAAGAATGATCGAGAACGCGAAGTGCGAACCTTGGGCTGTTATCGAATTAACTCGCGAACACGACGCAGTAGCACGGCTGCCGATTTTCTGGCCTATGTCCCAATTGATGTCTCGACGTGATCCTTCTCATATTTTGCCCATGCGATCTCCTATTAGATCCGCCGCGATTGGCCGCGATGACTGGCGATGACAGATCGTACGCGCGCGCGGACACGAAGCGCCGCGTGTACTCCGAATACTCTGAACCCGCGGGATCACAGCGAGTATAAACACGGCGACATAACCTACGGTCTATTGTTTCGTCTGATGGATTCGCAGGTGCGACGTAGTGGGAGGCTCGGAGAACCAACTGCGCGCAAGAATATCGCGAGCGCGGCGCTCGCACGGTAATTGCACGCACGGTGAAACTTTAAACGGGTCACATGTCTCAACGTCGCGTGACGTGATGAGCCGTGTACGCGTGCACGTCACGCTAACGTGCCTCGAGCGATTTACGCGAATTTTCTACGCTTCAGTAAAAGGCGGAAAAAAGGCAAAAAAGAGAATAGGTCGTGTTCGTAGCACGTAGGTTGTAGGATGAAACCTCGGCGCTCGTATAAATACACGCGATGACGCGTTGATATCGAATTTTTCTTTCTATGTTCGATAGATAAGATATGATGACTCATTCTTTTGTTTGTATTTATATGCTATATTTATAACGAATTTTTTTCAGATTGTCATGAGATAATATCAGATAATATTGTAGATCGCTAATTAGAATTTTTTTATCGCAGTTACGCGATTGAAAAAAAGACTACATTAACGTCCTTTCGACGAACAATTGTGATTAGAGTGAGAACAGTCAGATGGCACCACATAGTCTAATTTTCAAGGTGCATTTACGCGTAAAATGTAATAATCTATATTTACGTAATATATACAATGTGGACTACGTAAATTATGTTTTACGTAATATATGTAAATTATATCAAATTTTACAGACTTTAAATTTTAAAATTAAAAATAAACAATCTATACAAGGCCAATAAGAGTCACAGGCTGGTGAATTATGTTTTATGTCATCTATGAATCATCGAATCTTTTTATCTTGTATTGTAGACTGCACTAAGGTTTCTGTCTCGCTCACAGCATATGGTTTTATTTATCAATATATACTAATAAACATAGCCACATTGAAAAAAAATATAGTCAATTTTAATAAATATTTAGTTGAATTCTGCCAACTAAATATTTATTAAATATAAAGATATATTTATTTGATACAAGAATTGTTTGTTAATTTGATTAACAATTATTTTTTTATTGAACAAATATTTATTTACTATAAGCAATATTGAACTAAATATTTATTAAAATTAACTATATTTTTTTCTCAATGCAGCGTTTAAAATTTGAAACGAATTAATGATGTGGCGACATTGTTACTGTAACGTCACATAATGAATGTATTGTGTTCATGCATCACGTTACGTATCACTTTATTCTTGTTGTTTATCAAATATTAAAAAAGAATAATAAATGATACATATCATGCATGAAATGAAATGGCACTTGATATGATATATCATTACGTTGTGACATCGTGCTACAATCCTTCACATAAGCGTTAATTTGAAATTTAATCGAGACTATATTTCGTTTTTTTTTGCATTTTTCATAAAATAAATTCTTATTTCTTTAAATCTTTACAGGAAATATCGAATATATTATTGTAGCTGTCCAAAGTATGAAAATTATCATTGCAATCATCTAAGGCCCAGTTTCACAATTCACGAACTTTTAATCGAGATTCAACTTGTTTCTCATTTCCAATTCTAGAATTGAAAAGAGATAATAAATAAGTTGAATCTCGATTACCCATGAATTGTGATATTGGACTAATGCCCATTTCCACCAATATAAATTAAATTTAATCTCGATTCAATTTACTCTTCGTCTTTTTCCAATCTTGAAGATTAGAAAAAGACGAAGAGTAAGGGGCTCCGCACAATAAAAAGAACAGGGAGTAAGAATTTCAATCTATCAGAAATTGTGTATTCCACAATACATGATTCCTGATAAATTGAAATTCTTATTCTCTGTTCTCTGTTTCATATTTTATTGTACGGTATCTCCTAAATTGAACCAAAATTAAAGTTAATCTACAATACGTTGGTGAAAATGGGCATAAATGTTCATGTTTTAAACTTTCAAACTGCTAACATCAGAGCAACAACGTGGTGTGCATAGTCACTCACGGCCATAGTCATTTTTATATTCAATACCGTCTTAAGTAATGTTTTAAGACGCTAATGCAGCCTTCTGATTGGTTCGTGACTTCTTAAGACTACTTAAAACAGTCTTGAATATAAGATGTAACTATGAATATCGGCATATGAATACTAGCATGGAATACATAGGATGAACGTTCGCTTAATCATGACATTTATCGGGTAAGAGCTTACAACGAACAGAAATTCTTATTAGGAATGCCGACTATAATGATAGGCGATTGTCGAAATGTATCGGTTATTCGTGAATGACACTATTCACAACATTGCATCATGATGAATACAATCGAAATGAATCCAATTCACAATATGAACAGATTTCGATACTGTAGTCCGTAAGCATGAAACTCCTGGTGAAAATTTTTCTTAGAATTTTTCGTATAATTCTTTAGAATTTCTATATAATTTTTCAGAATTTCTCTATAATTTTAATTTCTCTATAACTTTCTCACATTTTTTATACGAATTGGAACATTTCTCAGAAAATCTACATCTTTTCTCAGAATTTTTTATATATGTTAATTATGAAATATCGTAAGATCTTTAAGATTCTTTTATAAGAAATTTCTGATGAAATGTTACAAAATCTAAAAAATTTTAAAATACTTTTTAAAAATTATGGGATGAGAAATTTCAGAATATTTTAGAATTTACTTGTAATGAGAAGTTCTGAGAGAAGATGTAAACTTTCCGAATATTTCTGAGTATTTCTGAAAAATATTCCAGTTCATATATAAAAATTATGAGAAAAATTTTCACCAAGGAATGATTTACGATTTCTTTGAGAGATTTCTTTGAGAGCTTCTTTGAAGCTCGGAATGTTTTCTAATAACGTACACAGGTGACAAAGTGTAATACACAAAGTGTTCCAACTATTGACACTGTTACATTGTTCGACACTATAAAAAGCTAAGTACAAGTGTGTAAAATATGCCAACTTTTCAAAAAGTTATTTGGCTATACTTATTTGCAATAAAAAACCCTTCAAAAATCGCCAATCCTGAAAAAATTATAACTTAAATCTAAATAACTTAAATCTAAATAAAAATTATAAATAAAAAATTATAAAAATTATAAATTAATTTAGCGTATTATTAATATGCTAAATATAATTATAAGAAAAGAATGGAAGACTACAATGCATTCTGATGTTACACTGTAATACTAAATTGCGTTTCAATAAATACTTTACACAGTGTAACGTCTCTGTGTCTTAGCTGGAAAACAGCCTCGATAATATATCATCGATGTACTTTCTAACATGATATGACATTATATGACGTCGCACTTCAATCTGTTGTACGCATCAATTTGAAATTTAATCGAAACTATTTGCGTTTCCGCGAATAAATTCTTCCGTTTTTTTCAATATCTATAGGCAGTATCGAGTATATTATCGTAGCTTTTTAAAATACGTGTAAAAAGCATCGAAATGCGATCATTTAATCGTCCGTCTTCAAACTGCCTCAGTTTGAACGGTGCGCCTGCGCGGCAGCCGGCCGCCATGACACTCGCAGTGCTTTTCGTACGGAAACACGCAGAGCAAACGCTCCTCAGTTGATCGCTGCATTTATCGGATAAGAGTTTACAACGAACGGAAATTCTTGTTGGAAGTGTGACTAAAGTGATAGATGATTGCCGGAACGTATCGGTTATCGCGAGTATTCGCGATTGACATCATTTCACAGTCTACATTGCGTCGTGGTGAATCAATCGAAACGGGAACAATTACAGTGAGAACAGATTTCGACGTTGTAGTTCGTAGCCACGGAACAGTGATCTTATGATTCCTTCGAAGAGATCGACACTCGATTAGTGCACTTTCTAATGTGATATGACGCGTCTAGATATGTTATTACTAACTAATTAGTGACCTTTCATTCCTTCACGTATGCGCCGATTTGAACTTTGATTGGGACTATTTCGCTTCTTTTTGCGTCTTTCGCGAAATAAATTCTTCCGTATTTCTTTCAATCTTTAAAGAAAATATCGAGTATTTTATTGTAGTTGTCTAAAATGGGCGTAAAAAGTGCTGAATTATCCTCGCGATCATCTAATCGTCCATATTTCAAACTGTTTCAATTTAAACGGGTAACTGGCACGGCGTCGGCGCGCGCATGCGCGGGCAGTGCCGGTCGCCATGACACTCATACAGCGCCTTTGGTCGGAATCACGTGGAGCGAACAAGTCTTGCTTCATCGCGGTTTTTATCGAGTAAGATCTCGCGACAAGTGAATATTCTTCGTTGAGAATGTTGACCGAAGTGACAAGTGATCGTCAGAAAATATCGGCTATCGCGGATATTTGTAATCGACGTTGTTTCATAGTGGATATTGCGTCGTAGTGAGTAGAATCAAATGTTACAATACCGTTAAGTGCATATTCCGATGGAAATGTCATGGGAAAGTGATCCTTACGATTTCTCCGAAGGGATCGATTAACGAACTTTAATTCATTAGACCTAAACGTCGTAATTATATCCAGTGTCTGTTGCTCGAAATAAAAAATTCGCCATTACATGCATTTATGAAATATTGGATACGGATATAATATCAGTATTGAAAGACGATAGATGATGATACAGATTCGTTGCATTAACTCCGTGTGATCGTAGTATTTTAATGGATATGATATATTTCATTGATAATGCAATGATAGTGCTGTAATTGTAGCTGCTGTAATGTATTTGTAATACATTACAAATTTTTTAATGACACTACTGTAGTTATAAAAATTAATTGTTTTATCTCACAATCAAATATTACAATTCTATTATAGAAATGAAATTAAATTTGAAGAATAACTTAAAAAAATATTAAGTTATCGTTGTACCTTTAATATAGACACAGGCAATGACAGGATTTTGATATTTCGACAATTCGATTATTAATGTAGCTTAAAAAATTTGCAGATTCTTATCACAATAAAGTCTTAAATGTGTATAAACTACATCTAAAGAAAAGTTCGTCATCGGGCACAATAAATAGCAAGAAACAATTATGCGCAAAGTAATTAAAATCGCAGGACAAAGAACGTATTTTGCAAAATCGTGGTGTGGCGTGGCGGATTCGTGGCGCAAATTCGCGTTTCTCATGTTTTTTCGGTAGTGAAATGTACGGAAATGTAATGTTTATAAGTTTGATCGGTCATCGTGTAATTAAGTGCTTGTTTCGAAAATCGTTTTCTCAATGTGAAACAGCGGAGCTCTTCTAAGGAATTTTCAACGAGTGAAGCAACCGGTGGAGCAAACTATAATACTCTA